TCAGCTTTTCTTTTAATTTTGTTTACATTGTTTTCAAATACTGGTGGCAAATGAAATTCCTGTAGACAGCTTGAACTTGGTGCAGTTCCAACATTTTTCAGGTTACATTCTAAACACTCCTTTAGGGTTACATTGTTAAGAATTTTTAAAGGCAGCTTTGCTTAAAAAGCTCTGTCCATCTATGAAGTTGTTCCTGTTTTCCTCTCAAACATCTGACAGTTTTTTGCACTTTGCGTTCTCTGCCCTCTTCAGATTTCAAGGCCTCTACGTTTGTGGGATACTGTCTCCACATGTTTATCACAGCTTGCCTCACGACTGTAATCTACCAGCATGTTGAACAAAATAATAAACCTCCACTTCCATGGAAGATCTTGTTTGGATATTGTGCAGATCACTCCCTTATGCTTATTACTGATATTTTACTCCTTGTCAACCCCCGTAGCTGTAGATTAAATCCTCCGCATTTATAATAGAGCAGTGTGCTTACATTGTAGCTAAGGAAAGCAGCCCACCTGTCAAACAAATTAGGTAATGCTTGTTTAAATGTTGCACAAATTATGTAACATTAATTTGCCGCGTAAGTCACAAAACTATGAAAAATACCTTTTTAAGCAGTCAAATTCAATGCATCCAATTACAGTGGGTCCCCGACTTTTCACTAAGGCAACCCATCAACTACAGGTTGTCTTTTTTGTGTGACCCACCCAGGGTCCAAGTTCACGGAGTGGGGTCCAATAGACCAGCAACCTTCTCCTCCTTGCCCCACCGAAGGGGCACCGCCCGCAGCAGCGCCCTCTGCGAGTGGCAGCTCTTGAATGGTGACCGTGTGGGAACACCGTCTCAGCAAAGCAGGCAAGCACAAACATTTATATATGGATCCCTTTCCACCACCTGTGGCACATGCACGGACTGCATGGTCAAGGTCTCAGAGAAGGCAAAGCAATGGAGGTTTCCTGTGGGGTTTGGGGTGCAGGATTCACCGCCCAAGCCATGGTCAGTGCTCTATAGCCGGGGTCCTCAACCTTTTTCTTTCTGAGACCCCCCCGAACAGGCTATAAAAATTCCATGGCCCACCTCCGCCACCACAACTGGTTTTCTGCCTATCCAGTAGATTAAAAGCCACTGGCGTTAGGGGGTAGCACAGAATGCAATTCCCCAGGGCCCCACGCCACAGGGGACCCCGCAAATCTAAGTTCTCAGGCTTCGGCTTCAGGCCCGGGTGGTGGGGCTCAGGCTTCGGCTTTCTGCCCTGGGCCCCAGCAAATCTAAGGCTGGTCCCTCTCTGGTTTATTTTGGTGGATCCCCTGAAACCTGCTCACAGCCCCCCGGGGGCCCCGGACCCCTGGTTGAGAACCACTGCTCTATAGAGTGCTCTAAAGTGTTGTGCTCTGTCACATGCAGACAGCTGGCAAACTAGGTACCTTTCAGTTCATGCCAGGAGGGTCTACACCAGGGACATGGAACATTTTTTCTATCAGGGGCCATTGGGGAATTGGCCACACCAGCCCTGCAGGGTGGGTGCGGAGGCTCGGGGCCAGGCCCTAGGCTCCAGGGTGGGGCCAGAAATGAGGGCTCTGGCTAGGGGCTGGGGATGAGGGGTTTGGAGTGCAGGAGGGGGCTCAGGGCTGGGGCAGGGGATTGGTGCCTGGGAGCAAGTTAGGGTGCAGGAGGGGGTTCCAACCTAGGGCAGGGGGTTTGGGGTACAGGCCCTGGTTGGGCGGCACTTACCTCAGGCTGGGGCTAAGGGAGGCTCCCTTCGTGGCCTGGCTTTGTGCTGCTCCTGGAAGCGGCCAGCACATCCAGCCCCTAGGCGGTGGTGTGGCCAGGCAGCTCTGCGCGGTGTGCAGTCCTCACAGCTCCCATTGGCTGTGGTTCCTGGCCAATGGCAGCTGCGGAGCTGGCGCTGGAGATGGGGGAAGCACATGGAAATTCCCTGATTGCACCTGCGCCCTGGGGCCATAGGGACATGCCCGCCACTTTGGGGAGCTGCACGGATCCGACCGGACTTTTAACGGCCTGACAACCCCAGCTTCCTTTCCTGCACCCCGAACCCCTCATTTCTGGCCCCACCCTGGAGCCTAGGCCTGTCGTGGAGACTTGCCGCGGGCCGGATTTAATTAAGCAGCGGGCTTAAGTAGGTTCCGCGCCCCTGGTCTACACAGAGCGCTTCACTTAAATCACATCCCACTGATCACTGGTGCAGACTCGGGGGCTCAGGGTGGTGTAGCATTTAGTGCTGTTGTATTACACCACTGTGGGTTTGGCTCTGGTGGCTATACTCTCCAGCTCAACAGTTTGACCTCTGCCACTTGTTTCCGATCTAAAGCTTCTAGGAACACATGAAGACCAAGGAAAGTAACCGACATTCACAAGAACAAGGTCTAATATCTTTTATCAATTTTATTGAAGTTACCAATAAAGTTATGAATAGCCAAGCAGAGATAAATCCTACATATATCCGTAGTTACATCCTCCTAGATAGTCTTAGGGTCTGATGGGTCTCATGGTTTGATCAGTAGAGGGATGGTTCCTGCTGGAGTTTTCCTGTAGGGAGCTCACTTTTCCCAATCTGGGCAGCCTCTTTTTATAATGTGATTCTGACTATACCCTGCACATGTGCATGAAAGTATCAACCCTCTTTTTCCTTATTTGTATTGCGTCCCCCAAGAATATTGGTGTACCCTGTTTTTCATACGTTGTGTATAGTTCCTTTTATTCTCATTAGCATGGACACAACCTGTATCCTGTGGTTAAGGGACACGTTACGAAAAAAAAAGTGCCTCTAGAGCATTTTGGGATCTAAAATTAATCTAAGTTCTTACAGGCCTCAGCCTGTAGGCCTTGGATTTCAGCCCTCCTTACTTAGATACCTAATCATATTTATCCCATCTCACTACTGATTGACCTGTCCCCCACCCCACTGTCTGGCACATGTGCTCAGAGTCCTGCCCCTCCCCTGGGTGTCTCCGCCAGCTGTTTCCTACCTGCTTCCCAATGGCTAGGTTCAATCTCATGCGCCCAGGCAACTGCTCCAGCCCCTCTCCGGGTTCTGCTCTCGCCTCCGTCACCCCCGCGGAAACATAGCCAGGTCCCATGAGATATTGTGGGGCTGGGGAAAACATCAGCTCTTCAAATATTTCCACAGCAGAGCCACTCGACCTCCTGGTTCTGCTGCCACCAGGAGGGGGAGAGGTCCCAGCTGGTCCAGGTCTCTCCAGGGCAAGGGCAGAAGGAAATGGTCCCGGTTTCTCCTGACGCTTCCTCCCAGACCAGCCAGACTGCGGGGGGATGGGGGGGAGGTGGTTCAGCAGTGGGGTCAGGGTGGAGGGAGCTGGGACCAGGAAGCGGTGGGGGGCTCGAAACCATTTGGTCTGGGGGTTGAGAGATCCATGGGATAGGAGTTGCTGCTACCAGGTGAGTGACGAGCAGGCTCCCTCTCAACAATTTCCCCCCCCAGGCTTCCCTCCTCAGTGGGCTGGCGAGGCGCCCACCTCCAGCCTTCCTGCAGGAACTCACAGAGGGACTGAGAAATCCCAGTATCCGCGACAAGCCTGCAGCCTTAATCATCTACAGCAATGGTGTCAAGCATCCAGCCCGCAGGCCTGGCACAGCCGAGGGAGGCATTTATCTGGCCCGCACGACAGATTCAGACTGGGCCGAATGTAAGCTTTACCTTTCAATAAAGTTTCCTGCTCCTATGGCTGTGAAGAAAACCTTCCCTATGTGAACGGATGCAAAGCCATTGGAGCGTTCTTTCCCTGCGTTTGCAACCATGCTCAGAGATACAAACCACATCCATTTCATCTCAGCAGGAGGTTGCTATTAGGCTTAAAAGCTTTAAACAGCCGATTTTAAAATTCAAGTGCAAATACGCACCAGAAGAGCCCAATTACTGCACGTGGCTTGCACAAGTTGGGTACTGCACACTCAAAGCGCAGAGAGTATTGCTTCCCACTGACTAATGCTGAACGCAACAACAACTTCATTGTGCCCAGGAGCTTTGTACAAGGCTCCTGTTAGCAGTGGGAGATCTGCCATGTATCAAGGATGGCGTACTATCTATTTCTGTAGACCTGCCTCACGGATAATTAACATGTAAATTTTCCCAATCCACAGACTGAGTTTAGTTCCTGAGTTAAAGATAAAATCTTCCCAGAATCCAGTTATTCTAGATGTCTTTGTGCTCTGATCAAAGGATTTTCATGGTTAGGAGGATCTCATTGGAAGCAATTTTCTCTGATCTTTTAAAAAGGCAAAAAATTATTTTTGCTACATTTTGTTCAAATTTTAATCTCGGTAAATCAATGATATTCACGCTTTTCTTATTTAAAGCAAAACATTGACATTTATTGAATTGACGGGATTTACAGGAAATGTGTTCTCTTATTTGCAACAATATTTATTGCACTAAAAAAAGGAGCCATAAACATCTAATGAACCAAAGTATGATACTGGAAGGGGTAGCTGTGCAGGTTAAAAACTTCATGTGTAAAGAAAACCTCGTTACAAGACAACATTTTTGCAAAAAATGCATCCCTGATTTTATTATGGAGATTTATGGCTGCTAAGTCAGTTAGATAATTCTATTGCTTTCCAACTGCAGTTAGCTCAACACGCATGTGGAGCAGCTTGCAGGTCGCAGGGTACGTCCACTCTGGAAATGCTCCAGCAACACAGCTGTAGCACAGACACTTACGACAGCAATGGAGGGGATTCTCCCATCGGTGTAGGTAATCCACCCCCCAGAGATGCAGTAGCTAGATCGAGGGAGGAATGCTTCTGTTGATCTAGTGCTGTCTACACCGGGGGTTAGGACAGCTTAACTAGGTGTCTCTCGGGGGTATGAATTTTTCACACCTGAGCAATGCAGCTAGGTTGACCTATACACCTCTACCCCGATATAACGCAACCCGATATAACACGAATTCGGATATACTGCGGTAAAGCAGTGCTCGGGGGGGGGCGGGGCTGCGTACTCCGGTGGATCAAAGCAAGTTCGATATAACGCGGTTTCACCTATAACACGGTAAGATTTTTTGGCTCCCGAGGACAGCGTTATATCGAGGTAGAGGTGTCCTTGAACTGCAGACCGGCCCTTAGTCTTGAAGAGGCTGCAGGTTATCTTGCCCCATGACAAAGTTCTGTGCAGATTGCTGGCAAATCGAAAGTGATACGATGCATATAACATAGTAAAAAATATAAGGCACCTCATACTTCATCAATGAAGCATTTTGTTCCGATTGGGAAAAAAAAATAATCTATGCTTCTGCACTATTTAGTAATATTACTGAGTGTTACTGTAAAGTAACAGTGTCAGTGTTTCTGTACATTAAAGCAGTAAACATCTTAGCGTAGATGTTGCACAAAGAACAGACTCTCCCCAGAGACACACAGGGCATCTGAAGGGAAATAAACTTATTAATTTGGATTTTAAAAACATTGTTTTGCATCCAGGACATTCCTTATAATTGCATTTATCACCATGTAAAAATATATAGACAGCTTCTTAATACAGCTGTCTGCTAAAAGGAGATACCAGAATCAAGTGTTTTTTCCTCCACACTGGTTCTCAGAATAATAAACTAACTTTTTTGTACAGAAAAAGAATAACAAACATGTTTTTCATTCTATAAACAATACCTTATATATGTAGAAAAACATTCAAGAGGATAATTAATGACAAAGGTGCAACATCAACAAAAATAAGCTGCCTTTTAAACCAAAGCACTTGTTCGTGGTTTAAAAAAAAATAAAAATCTTTTAAAGCTCTTAGTGTCCTCATGAAATTCCATTTAAAAAAAAACGGTTAGCTTAAAAATTCTTGCCGTGTTGTTGTGCATACCACTTCTGCCTTAGCTTGCGGTTCTCCAGCTCTGTGAGAAGGGCTTGCCTGTATGCTTCATACAGTTTAACAATTCGTTCCAGTTCTTTCATGAAGAGTAGCTTCAACATTCCCTGGTATGTATCTAGATCAGCTAGTTGGAAGAGTTCCCACTTCAGAATGTGATCATATCTGTTTTGAGATATAAATGTAAGATGCATATTTACATGTTATTATAAGAAAACACATACGTAAGACATTATGCATATCATTTTGTAATTGTGAAGCCACTGATGACATTTTTAGTAGTTGATACTGATGAACCTATTTCTGATAGCCGCACCCTTCCACAATTAAAATTAGTCTGGTTAATCTCTACAGTAATTTGTTTCTTAAGGGAAGAGGTATCCCATAAAGCTACACAGAGGAATCACTCAATCATACTGTCGATATATATTAATGTAAAAATACCAAATCATTTTGTAAGAACAAATATAAAATTATTTAAGACACTAGCAAGCAACTGCTATTAACCAAATGTAGTGAATACATTCTGGAGGCATTAAAAAAAATGTAATAAAACCCCACAAGAAATCCCCCTAAGTAAGAGTGGTTTGAATTTTGTGTATATACTGGGGGGAGGAGGGAGGAAACACCCCGGCCTCCCCTCCCACTGTGGACAGCTTGGGAGGTCAACAGAGTAACTTGAAAGAATAAATCTGTTAGCTGATTAACCCAGTACTCCCAAATGCCTGCCTCCTTGAGAGCTGAATTCCACAGGCTTTGCAAAGCCCCTTCTTCACCCACAGTATCGGTCTGCTCCTAAAGCGTCCTTGCCCTAACGATTACAGGGGGTGAAGGAGGATACTGTACGGCTCTTGGCTAATCCACAGCTCTATTCTACCTGCTACACTTACAGTACAGCCAACAGAGTTCAAAAAGTGACCCCTCCATTTTGTAATGGAACGTCTTTAGAGTGCTCTCCTGTTGGAACATTCGATCTATAGCTCAGTTTCACATTTCCACATAATCAAGCAAATGAAGCAAAATGAAGGTTGCCCAAATGTATCCTTAAAGCAAGTCAGCACTATCGATCACTGAACTGTTTTATTGTCCGTTTATTAGAATGGTTACAATTGCATAAACGAACAAGGCAAAATATGGCAACATGGGTCAACTAATGAGACCTTCTGGGTTTTGCAAGACTGCATACTACATGCCTTCACTGTCTGAGCTAACCTGTATTGTATCAACCAGTATAGTCCAAGTCCACTACTTAGCTGCAATTATTGTTGAATATTTCCCTATTTAGTTTTCCTTCCTTCTGTTACTACTCCTTGTGCTACGATCTTCTGAGATGTCAAATCTTCCTCCCTTCATTTATATCCTTATCATGAAAGTATGTACAGATGATTGTACAGTGGGGGGTGGGAGATTGCCCAGTGACAAACAGGTTAGGAATAACTGCTGGGAAAGCTAAAATGTCCATACAAAAACAGAGAAGCACGCAAAACAAAAGAAAGCGAAGAAAAAAAAACTAAGGCTGTCGATTAATCAGTTAACTCGCGATTTAACTCGAAAAAATGAATCGCGATTAATCGCAGTTTTAATTGCATGTTAAACAGAATACCAATTGAAATTTATTAAATATTTTGGATGTTTTTCTACATTTTCAAATATATTAATTTAAATTAACATACAGACTACAAAGTGTACAGTGCTTACTTTACATTAATTTTTATTACAAATACTTGCACTGTAAAAATGATAAAAAATAGTATTTTTCAGTTCACCTCATACAAGTACTTCAGTGCAATCTCTTTATCGTGTTAGTGCAACTTACAAATGTAGATTTTTTTTATTACGTAACTGCACTCAAAAACAAAACAATGTGAAACTTAAGAGCTTACAAGTCCACTCAGTCCTACTTTTTGTTCAGCCAATCGGTAAGACAAACAAGTGTGTTTACATTTACGGGAGATAATGCTGCTCTCTTCTCAATTACAATGTCATCAGAAAGTGAGAACGGGCATTCACATGACACTTTTGTAGCCAGAATTGCAAGGTTTTACATGCCAGATATACTAAACATTCGTATGCCCCTTCATGCCTCGGCCACCATTCCAGAGGACATGCTTCCATGCTGATGATGCTTGTTAAAAAAAAAAAGAATGCACTAATTAAATTTGTGAATAACTCCTTGGGGGAGAATTGTATGTCTCCGGCTCTGTTTTACCCACATTCTGCCATATATTAGGTCTCAGTTGATGATTCAGCACATGTTCGTTTTAAGAACACTGTCATAGCAGCTTTGTGTTTTGTCAAATGAGGTATCAATGTGAGATTTCTAAAGATAGTTACAGCACTGGACCCAAGGTTTAAGAATCTGAACTGCCTTCCAAAATCTGAGAGGGACGAGGTGTGGAGCATGCTTTCAGGTCTTAAAAGAGCAACACTCTGATGTGGAAACTACAGAACCCGAACCAGCAAAAAAGAAAATCAACCTTCTGCTGGTGGCATCTGACTCAGATAATGAAAATGAACATGCATCGGTCCGCACTGCTTTGGATTGTTATCGAGTAGAACCCATCATCAGCATGGACACATGTCCCCTGGAATGGTGGCTGAAGCATGAAGGCACATATGAATCTTTAGCGCATCTGGCATGTAAATATCTTGTGACACCGGCTACAACAGTGCCATGCGAACGCCTGTTCTCACTTTCAGGTGCCATTGTGAACAAGAAGTGGGCAGCATTATCTCCTGCAAATGTAAACAAACTTGTTTGTCTGAGTGATTGGCCGAACAAGAAATAGGACTGAGTGGATTTGTAGGGTCTAAAGTTTTACATTGTTTTGTTTTTGAATGCAGTTATGCTTTGTACGTAATTCTACATTTGTAAGTTCAACTACTGTACTTGTATCAGGTGAATTGAAAAATACCATTTCTTTTGTTTTTTACAGTGCAAATATTTGTAATAAAAATAAAGTGAGCAACGTACACTTCGTATTCTGTGTTGTAATTGAAATCAATATATTTGAAAATGTAGAAAACATCCAAAAATAATTAAATAAATGGTACTCTTATTGTTTAAGAACACGATTAATCACGATTAATTTTTTTTTAATTGCTTCACAGCCCTAAAAAAACCAACTACCATTCATAGCGGAGTGTCCCTGAAGTACGGGACTCATAAAATGGGGCGGAGTCGAGAAAGGAAGCAAAGAAGGGGTCGTTGTCTTGGCAATATGTTTCCCTTGATGTGGGAACAAGATAAAGAATAAAAGCAAGATGCATAATGTGAAAGTTTGTAAAACTACAGACAGATGCAATAAAACCCCAAAAGACTAGAGCTCAACAGCCTTTGTTAAATGTGTCAGATTTGTCACCCAGCAAGACTGAGGGTGAGGCATATTAAGATAAAACCCTCAAGCAAGGTGGAGAGGCAACATCCATCGAGAGGCTGGAAGGAGAAGCATATAGTGGAGTGGTTTTTGAATGTCACTGGCTACTAAGAATGAATACCTGAAGTTTATTATTTAGTAGGTTTTTAGCTGATTACATTTAGAAAAAGCAACAGAGGGTCCTGTGGAGTCTGATGAAGTGGGCATTCACCCACGAAAGCTTATGCTCCAATACTTCTGTTAGTCTTAAAGGTGCCACAGGACCCTCTGTTGCTTTTTACAGATTCAGACTAACACGGCTACCCCTCTGATACTTGACACCATACATTTAGAAAGCTCATTCTCTATCACTTATGGTTTTATAGGTAATCACTTCCATTACAAAGCAGCATATTGCTAGATAAAGATGTCAAGGCTCAGTTACAGACAGTGCTCCTAAGTTTATCCTTTGCATGTAGCAATTCTGTATTACTGTTTAAACGTCATGATTTTCATCGCTTTTTGGGAATACATAAACATCTAACTTTCCTGTGATCATCACAGACTCTCTTAGGCTTTTTAGCATATTCCAAGCTGCCAACATTAGGTACATTCAAACCCCCTACAATCCAGCATATGTATTCACTCCTCCCACCTTTCACTAACCCAGCTGAATTTAATGGAAGTCTCCTGAATGTTTCATTTCATGTAAATACTGCCAAACTAGTCTTGTGACGAATCAAGACTATGCCAGTTCTCCTGCAAGTAATTTTCCAGGCTCAGAACTAGCACTGTTTAGTCCTGGAAGGAACTGGATAACTAGTCCAGAGTCCAGTTTTACTTCCTTGTTCAATGCGTGGCCCTAGGCTCTATTGACCACATGCTATTCAAACCCTGCTCTCAATACAGAATGACTCATTTCCTCCTCAGTGCTTCTATGGCTCACGACTCTAGTATGTGACGGCTTCACAGAAGTGAATTTATTTTCACAACACCCTTGTGCAATGAGGGGGATCCTCACCTTACAGATGAGGAACTGAGGCAGAGAGAGAGATCAAGGTCAAGTGTCTACTAATTTTGGGTGCCTGATTTGAAATGCCTAAGACCCCATTTTCCTGAGCACATCGCACTATACAGAACTTTGTATGTTCAAAGCACAGCTCTCATTGACTTCAGCTGCTGCTCTGAGTGCTTGGCACAATTGCAAATCAAGACCCTGGGTTCTCGAGCTGGGCATGCAGAGAATGAGGAACACACAATTAGTGACCACCTATGAAAAGTTTGGTGACTTGACCAGCATCATAGAGGAATTCTGTGGCAAACGCAGGGACAAAATTCTTCTCCAGGGCAGTATCCAACTGCCTTAACCACGAGACTGTATTTCTCTTCCCGCAATCCCCTGCCTTTTTCACTCCACACCTTCCAACTTCTGAAACAGATAAGGCTGGGGTCCTACAGACAACCACCTCTTTCATTACACAACCCTAATTCATCTGCAGCGCATTGGTCCATCCGCTGCACTGAATAAGGCAGGGTCCTGTGGAAAAAAGTATGTGATCACGTAATTAAAGACTACCATAATTCATACACACAACCGGGCTGAATTAGGTTGCACAGGCAACCTTAATCTAGCACTTCCTGACTTTACAGTGCTTGAATTGCAATGTTAATGTTTTCAATGTATTTTTTTGTACGTAATTTATAGGTTTAAAAACAAAAAAACAAAAAACAATTGGCATCATATTGACATCCACATGCCAACTCTGCCAGTGGGGGTTTCAGATATTTGCTGACAGCAGAGGACTGATG